CACCAGCAAAAACACACTTGAAATATTCCATTTCATCACCAAAGAAAGGGAAATAATCTCAAATTTGTATTATCCTCAGCTTCACAAAACTAAAGTATCTTATACTGAGTTAACACAACTGACATCTTTTAATCATAGGTGAGGGATGCATGACAAAGTGAGGATTTAGTGATATTAAAGATAAAACTATAAATATTATATTACAGTATTAGAGACAATAATTATAATAACTATTTTTACTAGTGCTCAAATGTACTTTAATTGAATAATGTCCTACTGGCTTTGGATATTACTGAAATAACATGAAATAAGGAAGATAGGAATATAAACTACAGAGAATGCACATTAAAGCATCAAGTCAAAAGATTTTTTTTAATTTAGAGAACAAATCTCTGTGACTCAGATACAATAAAAGAACCAATCAAGAGGCCCGTGGCTCACGCATGTAATCCCAGCACTTTGGGAGGCCGAGGTAGGCAGATCACAAGGTCAAGAGATGGAGAGCATTTTGGCCAAATGATGAAACCCCATCTCTACTGAAAATACAAAAATTAGCTGAGCATGGTGGTGCACACCTGTAGTCCCAGTTACTCAGGAGGCTGAGGCAAGAGAATCTCTTGAACCTGAGAGGCAGAGAACCAGTGAGCTGAGATTGTGCCACTGCACTCCAGCCTGGCAACAGAGCAAGAATCTGAAAAAAAAAAAAAAACAACAACAACAACAACAACAACAACAACAAGCAATCTTCTTGATTTTGCTTTAAAAAGAAAATAAATTTAAACTGCAACACTAGTTGTTTTAACATTATATAGTTTAGGAAACTCTAATTTTAAAGTGTACATGGTTCAACTATGTAAATAAAATGAATAATACTGAACACAGAGGGTATTTCCTATAAAAAGCAACTACAACTCACCTCTGACTACTCTTTCTCAGGCAAGAGGCCTGTCACTCTCTTAGGGAGTTCTTCTCATTCTTTTATGAGAAGACAGTAAATCAGATCTTTAAACTGTGAAATGTCTTGAAAAAATGCATTACATGTATATTTCTAAGTGCATATATTTATACACACACATAATTAACCAGATTTTACACCTCTAATATAGACATGTATGTATATGTGTGTATATATATATATTTTTTTTCAAGCAGCTTCAAAAGCATGTATTCTCATGAACATCCCAATGTCATGTAGTCAGTGAAATTAAACTGTACCATTTTAGACAGCTGTCAAAATCAGCTCAATCATAACTCAATTATGAGTTAGCATAATATTAAGTTTTACATTCCTCAAGAAATAAGCAGAATGACTTATTGATAAATAAAAATCAGTCAATTTTTGTAACCAATTTATAACAATATTGTTAAATGGAAGAATTTTCAATAATATTATTCGAATAAATACCACTTTAGCTATACCATCTCCAGGAGGTTTAAAGAAACCACCTAATAAAACAAACATTTGTTAAACTTTTGCTGTGTTCAAGGCACTCTGCTGAGCAACAGAGATATAAATGTGAAAAGGCCATGGTTAATGAGATGTGTAGTACTGCATATGATTTTTTTAAAAATTATTCTTTGGTATATACATATACTGCAGATAGGGGAAGAAAGTAGTTTCAAGTTTCAATAGTATGATTAGGCAAGGCATTTCAAGAACAATTCTATTTCTGGTAATTTATTTTTCATTGGTAATTAGAGTTATAGGCAAGAAAGTTGTTAAAAGGAACTTAATCATAATATAGATATATAATTTAATATTCAACATGAAAAAATTTATAAATTACATAAATAAGATTGAACATGCTGTCATGAAAATTATGCTTTAAGGTATATTACATGATAAATAAATATTCACAATAATATTGTGAGGTGAACACAGTGTGTAAATATATAAACAGTGATTTCTACTTGATGTTTTTATAGAAAAATACATAAGGGAGTACAAAGATATATGGGTGGAATTATAGATAGATAAGTAAACATATAGATATGGATAGAGTAAGCAGCCATTACAAAAATATTTCGTTGTATATCTGATTCATATGATTATATAAGACTTCTTTCTTTATACATTTCTGGAATGTTTAAACGTTTATATGGAGTTTCTATATTAAATTCCTAATCAGAACATAAAATTAAAGACCTTTCACTGGCTACCTACTCTCTAGCCCACTTCCTCATTCTGTGAGAGTTATATGCTTCCTTTGAATTCGGTACCCACATAAACATCTTTGCATTAAAAATAATCATAAGTAGATCATGACTTTATCACCTTTAAGAAACTGTAACCTCTTGAAAAGCAGAAATATTTTAAGAAGTGTCTGTTCATATCCTTCACCCACTTTTCAATGGGGTTGATTTTTATTGTAAATTTGTTTAAGTTCCTTGTAGATTCTGGATATTAGACCTTTGTCAGAGGGATAGATTGCAAAAATTTTCTTCTATTCTCTAGGTTGCCTGTTTACTCTGATGGTAGTTTATTTTGCTGTGCAGAAGCTCTTAGTTTAATTAGATCCCATTTGTCAATTTTGGCTTTTGTTGCCATTGCTTTTGCTGTTTAAGTCATGAAGCCTTTGCTCATGCTTATGTCCTGAATGATATCACCTAGGTTTTCTTCTAGGGTTTTTATGGTTTTAGGTCTTAATTCAAGTCTTTAATCCATCTTGAGTTAATTTTTGTATAAGGTGTTAAGGAAGGGGTCAAGTTTCAGTTTTCTGCATATGACTAGCCTGTTTTTGCAACACCATTTATTGAGTAGGGAATGTTTTCTACAGTGCTTGATTTTTATCAGGTTTGTCAAAGATCAGATGGTTGTAGATGTGTGGTGTTATTTCTGAGACCTCTATTCTGTTCCATTGGCCTATATATCTGTTTTGGTACTAGTACCATGCTGTTTTGGTTACTGTAGGCTTGTTTAGTTTGAAATCAGGTAGTGTAATGCCTCCAGCTTTGTTCTTTTTGCTTAGGATTGTCTTTGCTGTATGGGCTCATTTTAGATCCATATGAAATGTAAAGTAGTTTATTCTAATTCTGTGAGGAAAGTCAATGGTAGTTTGATGGGAATAGCAGTGAATCTATAAGTTACTTGGGCCAGTATGGCCATTTTCATGATATTAATTATTCCTATCCATGAGCATGGAACGTTTTTCTATTTGTGTCCTCTCTTATTTCCTTGAGCAGTGGTCTGTAGTTCTCCTTGAAGAAGTCCTTTATGTCCCTTGTAAGTTGTATTTTTAGATATTTTATTCTGAACAATGAGAACACATGGACACAGGGAGAGGAACATCACACATCGGGGCCTATCAGGGGGTGGGGTGCAAGGGGAGAAAGAGCATTAGAACAAATACCTAACGCATGCTGTGCTTAAAACCTACATGATGGGTTTATGGGTACAACAAATGACCATGGTACATTTATATCTATGTAACAAAGCTGCACATTCTGCACATGTATCCCAGAACTTAAAGTATAATAATAACAATGAATAAAAACAGAGCATGTGACAGAAATAGAGAAGGAAAGAGAGAAAGTGAAGGGGAGATCTTAATTCTCCAGATGTGTTTCATAAACTTTAAACATGTTTCTGTCTTCTTCCAGTTTTTTGCTGTAGAAAAGTCTGAAAGGTAACCTGGACATATAATCTACAAGACAAAGCTCTTATTTAATCCCCCATCCCACAGCTGCTGACCTGTTTCTGATGAAGAACCTTAATTCTTATATTATCATCTTTACAATGAACTAAAACTTGTAAAATTTCTCCTTATATCTTATTGAAATAATATGCAATTTATTCTATTTATCTTTAATGACAAAATTGTGATGACTTTCCTGTTTTGTTTTTCTCTGCAGCCTCTTTATAGACTCATCATTGAGATGTCAAATTATCACCCGTGTTCTCTGTACTACTGGATATTAAAAACAAAACAAAACAAAACAAAAAACAGGAACCATGATCTTCAGTTTCTCTCTAGAAAAAAATATACACACTAGGATATAGAAGAAAAATGTTTCAATGAGGTCTTCTAATTCCATTACAACATACTATACTGCTATATTTTAACAGCGCCTAAGAGACAATATTTTAAAGTGATAAATTTTGCTGTTAATGTAACCTGAAAATCCTCAATAATTAGAGGGTTAGCATATTTGAGGATGTATATATCAAAAAAAATTGTGTTATGTTTTAACATTTTAAAGATGAATACATGTACATGTATATTACACACAAATGTTCCAAATAATTTTCATTGTCATTGTACAGATTCTATAGTATTTCTTGTCATTTTTATGCACTTGTCAAACAACTGCAGAAACATTTATTGGTTAGTTTCTGCTTTAGCATTTTATTTTCAGTTGACATTTGCTAACTGGCTATTAGTTATTTATTTATTTATTTTTTAATCTCTAGAAAGACCTCCAAATCCAGTGCAATTTTCTCTTATTATTTTCCGCAGTGCTGAATTATTTTGAACTTCTAAGTCCTTTTTATGTGAGTGTAGAAAGATAAAATACATCAAACTGAACCTTTTAATAAAACTTCAATGAAGTGATAAATCAGGTAGCTATTGCAAACAATGCAGAAGTACACTTGTGCCATTAAATGATGTAAGAAACACATCTAGTATAAATGAGTTGTTTGGAAATCAAAGAAACATCCCTCTGTTTAATATTTCCTGTAAGTTGATCCTTCAAACTCTATGTTTTAGCAAAAGAACTTGTTGCCTTTGAATTGGGATTTTTGCAGGTATTTATCAGCAGTAATCACATTTTCAATTATACTAAAGTCTCAAAGTTTGAAAGTACAAACCAGTTATTGTGTATTTATTGACTTTTATTTTAAAGTTTAATTTGTACCAGTGAAGAACTCCAGCGCCTTCTATATTAAAAAGTAATATTAATACCTTTTTTAAGAACTTACATATCAGATAACTGAAGTCAATAAGGTGACAATATTGTTATAAAATAAAAATTGATAGAACTGTGTCATACATGCTCACCTTTTCAAAGTCGGTAAGTTTGAGCTTCTGTGTTCACTTGGTGTTTTCAAGATTGTTTTGATGAGTTTGTTGTTATTAATATTTTTCATAGCATATTTTTCTAGTCTTCCAAAAGACTGGTTTCAAAGAGATTAAGAAAGAAATTTGTCACTAAAGAGAGCCTTCTTTGTCTAACCTAAGTAGCAAGAAAACAATTCAAGCTACCCCATTCCCTTTTACCTCCTATAGGAATTGAGAAGAAATGGGACATCTAAATTGCTCAGATTTTCTTGGTGCACATCCTGGATCTCTGTGTAAATATTGCCAGCATATATAATACAATTCAAATTATCAAATATTTATGTTTGTATACTTACTGTTAGAATTCAGATTGAATGGTTACATATGGAAGCTTTGTAGTATTTAGCACCATTCTTGAATTTGATTAGTGCGGTTAAGATAGTTGTCTATGATAGAAACCTGGGCTTCTATTGGCACTCTGTAAATCTAAATTCCTAGACTATCGAGATAGAAAAAGGGATTTTAACAACTGGAAGAGGCAACACTTCCCTTTTTTAATAACACATCACCATAAATGCATGTTAGGCCAAAAGAAGCTTTCATGGGTAAATATACCCTCTAAAGCTGAAAAAATACTCACTTTTTTAAAAAAGGTACTCTTTTCGTTGTTGTTGTTAGTTTTTCAACCAAAAGGAGGAGGGATCTGTAGTGGTGGGGAAGACAAGAATTAGAGCAAATCACAGTATTTGCTCAATAGCATTTCAAATAATTGCGACTGCTCCCGGGGAGATAGAAACACTCCCTACTGATAGCCATGCTGCTTTAAATTCCTTTGCTGCTTCCCTATTGTCTCATCTCCAGATTCTCTACTAAGTGGGAAGATCACATTAGGGTAAATCACCAAAACTACTGAACAGAGGAATCTGATCTAGAAATCAAATCCCTTCTACTTTATTCCCCATGGGAATTTTACCTAAAAAGTGGAAGAAAAATATATCTGTTCAGTTGTGGCAGCACAATTTCTCCATTTATGATGTTAGATTATTTTTTGTATTTAAACACATATCTCTTTCAAGTAAATATACCTCACAATTTTAGGGAACTCCACTAAATATTCTATTTTATTATCTTTGCCATCCATACATAATGGGTTGTGTTATGATCTCCAATTTCCATGCCAGTCATTGAAAAATGAAACAAAACAATTTTCTAATGAATAATTATTTTACTTAATCTCTAGAGATATTTTCAGGAATTATTTCTCTGACAGTGACATATAGATAAACTTTCAGAAACAGAGTTGAAAGAAGGAAAGAGAGAAAGGGGTAAAGATTACTACCATAAATAAATTATATTTTGGCTTTTTAAACTTACATATATAACACAAATAAAATCTATATATATTATTTAAACAATGCTTTTGATTTCCTGATGATCTATTAAATAGCAATCTGACTCTAAACTCTGTTATCTGATATTTCAGCAGAGTCTTATATAGGGAAACAGTGTATTAAACAATATTACTTTAGTGTAAATATGTAGTGAGGTCATTAAAATGGCAAAAGAGCTGAACCAAGAGGTAATTTTTCTTAAAACATTCTACCATCTCGAAGACTGATTCTTTTCATGTTTTAATTTTATAATCTATAATTTTAATTTCTTAAAGTAATATTAAACTGTAGAACATAATTTTATAAAAAGTATCAACCTTATAACTATTGTGGATTTTGTATCATTTTCATTTCCAATACTCTGCCATAAAAAACCTGAAAGATTTGTCCAAATTTTGTCTACTTAACTTCCAGTTTTTACTGCTTCATAGATGTGTTTAATGAGATTAGAGCCTAGATAATATTCACGTATCTCAGATAAAAGAATGGTCCACAACTGGAGTATTTTGATTTCTCTATGGAGGAAAATAAATACATAACATAGGAATGTCCTGAAACATAGAAAACTATTTCAAAATGGTGAACATCCATGAACATGAGAACTCTTCCTTTTACCTGTCACTTTATAAACATTGTTTTTTAAAAAAGGGTACATGACATTAGCAACTGGATGCTAAAGCATTTGCTACTATCAACACTTTCACTAAATTTCTAAAGATATTTTAAATGTTTCTATATTTCCCCACCTCTTTAATAAATTCATCATTAACTCTTCATTACTAAAATTATAAATTTTGAATGAATCAAAGACATGGACTGAGTAAAGAAGAAATATACATATATATGTAATATATGTACACACATACTTTAGAAACAGAAATAGAATGCAAAGCAATGGACACTATAATTTTAAAATTTATTGTTTTAAATTTGGAAACAATAAAATTCCTTATTTGTGATCTATAATTGTACCAATTTTGACAAATGTACTCATATATCTACCACCAAAATCATGATACATAACAGTTTAATTACCTGAAAATATGATCTTGTGTTGCTCCTTTGTAGTTAACCTGTTTCCTCATCCTTAATCCAAAAATTAACTGATCTAATCTCAAAAACTACATTTTTTGTATTTCACAAAAGTCATATATACAAAAGTTATATGGAATAGCTTAGTGGTTTTTGACACTAGTTTTTTTCTTGTGAAATATAATCCCTGTTAGTGTACATATCAATAGTTTAGTGTCTTTTATTTCTGAATATTTCTTTTCTGGGATTCATGGATCTGTGCTTTGGTGCCATTATTAATTTGTAAAATTCTTAGACCGTATTATTCTAATATTTCTTTTGGCCTGCTCTCTTTCTATTATTCTTCTGGAACTCCAAGTATAAGTATACTTGATAGTTCAGTATACAAAAATTATGTTATATATAATGTTCAGCTGGTTCAAATTCCTTAGGACTATATTATTATAGCAGTCAAGAGAGTTCATATAGCCCTAGGGGAAGGCAGAAAACATTTATTTTTGCTCTTATCATATGCATGCAAATTGTTTCTGGTCCTTCTTTTTGATTAGGATTGGAAAAGTTCATTTGGCAGTTCAAAGGTACCAGCATTATATTGGAGGCTGTGTTAATCATCTATGAGTAAATCTTCTCATCTCTGACACCATAACTAAATTTGGGCTGCTAATTATCTGAATTAACCTACTGTAATCCTTATACCTAGTTTTTGCAGGTACAAGACTATTAAATAAATTTGGATGAGATAGGTGTAACTACTCCTGGTTCTTTCAGGTTTTTAAAGGTGGTATTAATCTATGCTCTTCTACCAGGGAGGTGACGTTGTATTTTATTTACTAATTTTCTGCAGGCTATATGTATGCATGTAGAGATTGGGATAGGAAGAGTGTCTTAGAAGTTTCCACTTGGCTTTCTATGCTGTGATAACTCTTACCTTATGGACCAAGGAACTAAGAAATGTGTGGTCTCTGTCAACTAACAAATATATCCATTCCAGTTATCTATTTAAGAACTAGAAAAATGGTGTGAGCAGACTAACAGACTCACTTGTAAGCCAGATATAAAGCAGGATTCCATTTATTACTTGATCTTGTATGTCTTCACTATAAAAGAAAGTCTATGGTAATATGTGCCTGGATATCAATGACATCTCAGATTCTGTGCCAAATATTCTGAAAATGGTTAGGTGTTTACCTTTTATTACATTACAGGTACCAGAGTAAATAGCCATAAGTCTCTTTGATGAATGACCATTAAAATATTTACTTCAAATAATTCCCGTGGTGTTAGAAGGTCCTACCCTCCCTTTGATGTAGTTCTAATAACTGACTCAGGTTTGACAACTGGGCAAGAGGTCATTACTTGTTATTCAGGAGATTACCATCAGGCCCTGATGATAAATCCTTGTATTATCACATTTAAACCTATGTTTCTAAGGTTTGAGAAATATTACAGTTGGATGTCACTCTATCTTGCTTCTGAAATGCTATTTTCTAATAACTCCAAAATTCCTACATATGTTGTTACCTGATGTTAATTATTGTTCTGGTGGCAGGGGAGGATGGTGAAAATAGATCCGGAGAGGTGTACGCATTGCATAGCAGAAGCTTCTGCAACCTGTATAAGCAAGAAGGGGAAGTAGCTTTTAACAGGAAAAAAGAAGGAGGGGGCTTCTTTTGCAGACCTATAGATCTCAGGAGGACCGAGATTTCAAGATTGTAAAGGATACTGATTTCAGACAACCCCATCCAGAGATTTTGTTTGCCATTCTTTTCCATTCAAGCAGTCAAGACTTTGACCTTGATGTAGCAGTCTGGTTAGTGTAGAAAATGCAATAAATTTCTGTTACTTAGGCCACCCAGGGTGTGGTATGTTATTGCTGGAGCCCTAACAAACATAGAGGGAACCAGTTGTTACTATTTATTTTCTACATTAGGATTCTTGGTTATAAGTTGAAAAATTAATTTTACCTACCTTAAAAACAGAATGCAACTTGTAATCAAAGATTCAAGAATGTGTCATGGAAGACAAGGGAAGTGAGGTGGGGCATTGTGAGTGAATAGGTTCTGGGAACACATACACAGATATAAGTCTCTCTGAATCTCTTTGTCCACCTCTTCTGTTGTTTCATTATCTGTCTCTGCTAAAAGGCTTCCTTTGAACTAATAGGCCCACATGGTGAGAAGCATGGCATCTAAATACCTCTGGGAAACAGAATCCTATCTCTCTCTTTCTCTCCCTCATTTGCTTTTTAAATTTCAATTCCAGGAGAGGAGTTTTTGATTAAGCAAGTGTCTCTACCTCAACTATTGAACTGTGCCCTGAGGTGTTGCCAGTAAGTCTCATGTATTACAGATTAAGAGAAAGGACAGGTCTCCTTCAAAAAGGGAGAGAGGAAGACTGTGGGTAATCTGCTAGATGTACACTACTTATACTGTGTTTGGTTGAAAGTTTTATTGAGTAGCCATTTTTTACTTATTCCCAGCACCAGTAACTTGAAAAGTTTGAAGAATAAACCTTTAGAAGGCCATAGTAATAACAACAGCAATAACATCTTTCTATCTATCATCTATCCATCCATCTAATTATGTTTATTCACTTCAGTGCACTTATATTTGTATCATCTAATTTAATTATAGCTAAAACTCATGAACACTTTAAAACAATTATAATCATTATGCTGGTGAAAAGATTGGGCTCATATAGACAAATATATGTCTACAAAAGATCTGTTTAGAATGAGGCATTTTTAAGAATAAAGGTTTCAAGTATCTTATTCAAGTAATCAGCCCAGAAATAGTGGAACAGCACCATATTAAGATTCTAGAGACTTTGACTATGATACCAATCATGAGAGTATTTATAAAACAGTAACATCTGTCTTTATAAAGTAATGTCTGTTTATGACTCTTTAAATAATTTCTTTTGGCATTCTCACTGACTCTTGTATACCTTAACTTTTTTTATTTTGAAACATTAGTTGAGTTTATATTAAAAAATAATATCAATTATCACCAATGGATGCTTTTATACTATGATGTCTTCACTGGAATTTTCTAATTTGTTTTATGTTTAAACAATTTTTGTGCCTGCATCAACTGGAGATAAACTAATATCCAGTTTATCTAATATTTTAGAGGTATTTCAATGTCATTTGAGTTTTTACTTATAAAACAAGAAAAGACTAGAAAACTCAGCCCAAGTTCATGGAATATTTATATTCGCCATCTGCATGCCACTCTGTGTAAACACAGAAATTGTCAGATGAAGCAGCAAAACATAGGGCCTCTATAAAGTGCTATTCCCTGCTGAGCAGATTCTTGGAAACACTGCAAGTCTTGCAAGAAATATGAAGGGAGTCTTCTTTGAAATAAGCATGATATTCCATGCTGAGACAAATCACACTCACAGGGTATATGAACATTGAAATTAGAATTACAATCAAGAAATAAGAAACTCTAGCCAGAGATTCTACATCCAAATAAATAAGAAGAAAAATGTTAGTGTTTAGAAAAATGTAAAACATAAAGTAAAGCAAATAGAACAACAACCAAAGTAAAATACTAAGGATTATATATTGTTATCATTTAAAAAAATAAAAGATACCCTGTTCTGACTATGTTGATAAGTGCACTCCTATAAAATGTGAATGCTGAAGGTATGACAGTTGCAAACCTAATTAGATGAACCAGATGTGATCGTTGTAAAAGCCATTTCAGGAAAAACTAGTTTTGGCATGCTGGCTGTTTAAATCTTCCTATCTCCTCTTTCTGAAGTGAATGTCAAATATAAACATCCTTAATATAAAAACTTATAGCTCAAACCCTTTTAGAGCATTTTTTGTTTACAGTCTCTCCATAGATTAGTATGTTTTTAAGTGACTGAAGTTTTGTAAAATATTGTCTTCCCAGAGATCTATGTAACTTGCAGTAATATTATACCTACACACTCCTGCAAATGAAAGATGAAAAATATGTGAATCATAAAAGCTTAAAAATTAATTACAACAAATGGATTCCAAACAAAATTATCATATTAGAAGATAAGTAGATATAATGATACATTTATTTTTACCATAAAGCTTCTTAAAATAAGGAGTATAATTTTTTTTCTATATTCTCCACAAATACATCAAACTTCAGTGTAACATATGGACCAAGTGGAACAAATAAAATCTAAACATGTGTCTAATATGTTATATGTGACAAAGTTGTGGGAAATTAATTCCAGTATTGTGATTTATCTGAGAAATCTTGCAAATATTGCTCATTGAAATCAATTCTTAGAAATGTCTAACATAATGAGGGGAAAAATTGTGAAAAAATAATAATATAATTATGGTTTAAACTTATGACATCAGCTAGGCAACCAGGATACTTTATTTTCCTGTTTAATTGTGTGCTGCTTACAAGGGATGTGAAGGACCTCTTCAAGAAGAACTACAAGCCACTGCTTAGTGGAATAAAGGAGGACATAAACAAATGGAAGAACATAACATACCATTCTCATGGATAGGAAGAATCAATATAGTGAAATGACCATACTACCCAAGGTAATTTATAGATTCAGTGCCATCCCTATTAAGCTACCAATGACTTTCTTCACAGAATTGGAAAAAAACTGTTTTAAAACTCATGTGGAACCAAAAAAAGAGCCCATATTGCCAAGACAATCTTAAGCCAAAAGAACAAAGCTGGAGGCATCATGCTACCTGATGCTATATATTCGAACTCTACTAAAAGTCTACAGTAACCAAAACAGCATGGTACTGGTATGAAAACAGAGATATAGACCAATGGAACAGAACAGAGCCCTCAGAAATAATACCACACATCTACAGCCATCTGATCTTTGACAAACCTGACAAAAACAAGAAATGGGGAAAGGATTCCCTATTTAATAAAAGGTTATGGGAAAATTGGCTAGTCATATGTAGAAAGCTGAAACTGGATCTTTTCCTTACTCCTTATACGAAAATTAATTCAAGATGGATTAGAGACTTAAATGTTAGACCTAAAACCATAAAAACCCTAGAAGAAAACCTAGGCAATACCATCCAAGACATAGGCATGGGCAAGGACTTCATGTCTAAAACACCAAAAGCAATGACAACAAAAGCCAAAATTGACAAATGGGATCTAATTAAACTAAAAAGCTTCTGCATAGCAAAAGAAACTACCATCAGAGTGAACAGGCAACCTACAGAATGGGAGAAAATTTTTGCAATCTACTCATCTGACAAAGGGCTAATATCCAGAACCTACAAAGAACTCAAACAAATTTACAAGACAAAAGCAAACAGCCCCATCAAAAAGTGGGCAAAGGATATGAACAGACACTTCTCTAAAGAAGACATTCATACAGCCAACAGACACATGAAAAAACGCTCATCATCACTCACCATCAGAGAAATGCAAATCAAAACCACAATGAGATACCATCTCACACCAGTTAGAATGGCAATCATTAAAAAGTCAGGAAACAACAAGTGCTTGAGAGGATATGGAGAAATAGGAACACTTTTACACTGTTGGTGGGACTGTAAATTAGTTCAACCATTGTGGAAAACAGTGTGGCAATTCCTCAAGGATCTAGAACTAGAAGTACCATTTGACCCAGCCATCCCATTACTGAGTATATACCCAAAGGATTATAAATCATGCTGCTCTAAAGACACATGCATATGTATGTTTATTGCAGCACTATTCACAATAGCAAAGACTTGGAATCAACCCAAATGTCCATCAGTGACAGACTGGATTAAGAAAATGTGGCACATATGGCCGGGCGCGGTGGCTCAAGCCTGTAATCCCAGCACTTTGGGAGGCCGAGACGGGCGGATCACAAGGTCAGGAGATCGAGACCATCCTGGCTAACACGGTGAAACCCCGTCTCTACTAAAAAATACAAAAAACTAGCCGGGCGAGGTGGCGGGCACCTGTAGTCCCAGCTACTCGGGAGGCTGAGGCAGGAGAATGGCGTAAACCCGGGAGGCGGAGCTTGCAGTGAGCCGAGATCGCGCCACTGCACTCCAGCCTGGGTGACAGAGCCAGACTCCGTCTCAAAAAAAAAAAAAAAAAAAAAAAAATGTGGCACATATACACCATGGAATACTATGCAGCCTTATAAAAGGATGAGCTCGTGTTCTTTGTAGGGACGTGGGTGCAGCTGGAAACCATCATTCTCAGCAAACTATCGCAAGAACAGAAAACCAAACACTGCATATTCTCACTGATAGGGGAGAATTGAACAATGAGATCACTTGCACACAGGAAGGGGAACATCACATAAGAGGGCCTATTGTGGGGAGGGGTCAGCGGGGAGGGATAGCATTAGGAGATACACTTGATGTAAATGACGAGCTAATGGGTGTAGCACACCAACTTGGCACATGTATACATATGTAACAAACCTGCATGTTGTGCACATGTACTCTAGAACTTAAAGTATAATAAAAAAAATTAAATTAAATAAAAAATAAAAAATAAGGTGCACTGGAAAATATTTCAACTACTAAGCGAATATAAGAAACATTTGTATACAATTTGAATGATTTAAAGGCATTACTATCAGAGTGTTTTAAATATAATAGAGTTTTATATAATAAAGGTCAATCA